TTGCTTGATACTGAGTGATTCATTAATTTTGAATACAGATGAACCAGGATTGGTTACAATAATTTGCCAGGATATATTTTGAAAACTGCCTAAATCAGACAAGGTGTCAAAATGAAACAGTTCAAAGGATTTGAAATTTTGATTACAGTAAAACTGAATTGGATAAAAAGTGTTAGTTTGAGACAAGCTAGGTTATTTACCAATCCTATAGGCATGCTCCCTGATGATAGAGCTGATTCAAGGTCGAATAGTCATAACTTCTCGTTCGAAAATTTACGAAAATGTTTGACATTCAAAGAATGTTGCAAGTTATTACTTCAAGAAACTTTCGTTGGATAAAAACGATGGTTCTGAAACCACCACCTGATGCAGTATGTTTATCCAACTGTTATATCCATCCTTCAGAAAAAATATTGATATAACCTGAATAAACTCCAGGTATCCCACAAAACCAAGTGTTAACCACCCGTTGGAAACCTAAAAAGACTTGCTCAAGATACACTGTGCTGAAGTTACGTAGTGTTGTACCTTTGCCTGACGAGGGAGACAGCGAATTTACCCAAGCAACCATCAACAATTCCCACAGATGGCAACAAATTACAACTTAATCTTACTATTAATCTCAGCTACTGAGTGCGGATTACTGTGGACCACCCACCAAGTTGACGCTGCCATTTATTTACCTTGGATACTTGCGAATACAGAGGTCATGCTATGCAGCATCTGCATGGGTTTACCTAGGGGAAAAGGAGTTTGATTTATTTATATTATCTCTGACAAGTTTTGTTATTAATATTAAATACTCTTAAAAATCTAATATTAGAAACCTAAAAACTATAGGAAATAACTATAAGTAAACTATAAAAAAGTGACTAATAAATAAAGTAAAGTGAACTGTAAGTAAATGGTAGTCCATGGTGATGTTAAAAATTGTAGTCAGGTTTAGGAAATATTAGCAGATTTTTACCATGACTAACCGAGAGGAGATCTTATTGTATCATGTAATGGGGTACAGCATCACTTGTGACGAATCAACTATCGCAGTAAAATAAGAGAGAAAATAAAACTTTTAGACTGAAACACAATCTATGAAAACGAATTTGGAAATTGTATTCATTTCATACTAAGTTATAAACATTTAAAAAATCACAGTTTATAATTTTCTCTGTGCCAGCAGACCTAATTAGTAGTTTGCTTTGATGTGTTTGAAATAGGCCAAATAGGGAATAGATTAATAGATCTGACAAATTTAAGGAAATATTTTAGTGAAAATCCAACCAGAAAAATGGACTATAATATAATTGTACAACTACCTCGTCACAGCTCCGTAGTTTCCGTATATATTACGGCCGTTTCGGCATCAAAATGCCATCCTCAGATACATACATCCACCGGAGTTTGACGACGCCAAATCCGGTGGATGTATGTATCTGAGGTATGTATCATGTATCAAAATGATGTATGTATCATTTTGATGCCGAAACGGCCGTAATATATACGGAAACTACGGAGCTGTGACGAGGTAGTTGTACAATTATATTATAGTCATCAATTCAGCTCAGGGGCTAAACCATGTCTATTGAGGAAAATGGAGTCTGAGGTTTGCTATGGTGAGCGTATTTTTGTTGAATTTAACTAATCAAACTAATAATAACATAAGTACCATACAATAAAGGGTAAATAATAACAAATTATAATCCACATAAGTACGTATGCTAACAACGTAGGGAATTGAAAGTCTAAACTGTGATATCTTAATCCATATTTCATGGTATCGATTGAGTTTCCAATTCAAACGACTTACACAATGATATACATAGCGGACAGTAGAATAGCTGTGGAATGTGGAATGTATTGTTTATGTACTTGACCTAGCATATAACCTTTTGTTCACACCTAGCAGACATGCTCGAACACGAAGCACGAAACATTCCGTACTACAGTAGCTTAGCACACTCCATAGTAATCAGTAGAGCTGGTTCGATCATGAGAAAAGTCAATAGCTTTTGGGGGCTTTAAAGAGGAGGCTCACCTCACTATTATTGGAATTCACTGTATACAATGACGGTGATGTACATGTTTCTTAAAAAATACGTACTTTTTATTGGCTTGATCCTGAGAAAATTTAATTGGCTTTATGGTTTAAAGTGCACTTAGTTATTCTTGATCCTTGGATATAAACGATTCTACTTAACCGCTTCAGTTTAGTCAGTAAAGAGGCTTCCATATACTTTATTTAAACTCATCCTTGAGTACAAGTAACATTTTAAGCATTGAAGAGTTTTAAAACAAAAAATAACGTTATATAAGCAGAGAATATGCACAAGAAAGAATAAAAATCCATAGTACTTCGGTATAAATTTTAACCAAAGCTTGTTTCTTATATAAAAAAATTCAAATTACACATACAATAGTTTTAAATGTTAAGACTGTAAAATATATGGTAAATAACTGAATAAAATAAATGAAAACCAAATGTATACGTTAATAAATCTTTATATGATTAGCATACAATTACAAGTTGACAGATATGACGTAGTCGTTGTGTTTAATTGTTGAAATAATAAAATAATATTTAATTATTATAATTATAGTCGTAGCGTTTTCTTATGTGCAACAGCAAATATTGTGCAATAGTGTGCGAGAAAGGGTAGGCCTAAATATAACAATAGTCTTTTAGTCATTCTGTGATCAGATGAGCTGCAGTGCATAGCTATGTGGTCAACAGGTATGATTTAAGTAAGTTAGTAGAATTGTTTAAGTAGTGAGGTTTAACTAACGCTTTTTTTAATTTCTTTGTAAAAATAATCTTCTACGTTTTCTATTTTCAGATTGAATTGTTCTAGTTTCAAGAAGTTTTGTTATTTGTGTATTTAATATAAATACTATAATACTTAATATAAATAGAAATAATGTAACACGTCATTAAAAAATATATATACAGTGTCAATTGGAAATGTATTTGTAATCAAATATACACATAGTATAGAAAAAAATATGAAGAGATTGATAAAATATGTTGGGAAGCTTTGCTTGGCTTGGTTTTTATTTTGGAATTCAGTGTTAAGATTGTTCGATTCGATTCTTAACACATCCACAAACTAATGGGAGGGTTGTAGCACGTTATGAAAAAGTTAAGACCGTTCCCTTGAAAAATACCATTCCCTTAAAATTTCCATAAGTTATCTTAAAAATGCCTCCTTCACAAAACTAATCAAGTTTGGATAAAGTTTAATAACACTTATTTAATAACACTCTTAGTAGTTATAGGCATTGAGTGCCTTGGGAGATCAAATGAAGTACACACTCGGCAAGAGCAATTTGAATAATTGTTTATTGAAGCATCAATTTTCCAAAAAATAAATTTTATTCAACAATTAAATAAAATTGGCATTATAAAAAGATCAATTTTATGGTTTTATCATAAAATTAGGTACAGGTTTTGTTTAGTATAAAAACATATAATAATCACCTATAATATACAAATATACAGGATAGAGATTTTTGGGTACAAACAATAGCAGTTGTTGGCCTTATATTCCTCATATTGCCTGTTAATTTTTTATATCTAAGAAACCGTATGAGAATACATATTTAAATTTTTATCATACATTTCTACTAGCCTTATAAATAGCAGTAAATTATTAATAAAAAAAAAACATTATTTAAAATACCGTTATATTATTTTGTATTATTATTTTATATTTACATTATTATAATGTGTTTCTAATCTTATACATAAGCAGTAAATAAGTGTTTTGAAAAATATTCTTCAAAAATACAGTTGTTATATTAATTTTGTAGTTTTCTCGTCTCACTATTATAAACAATAAACTACCATGCAAGTCAAATTGCAATTTACATTCATACAATTTGTTTATAAAAATAAACGTGATTTTCTTTAGTAAAATAATAACTAAAATATGGTTGATAGCCTATTTTACAAAATATACAAAGCACTCAGTAAACAATATAATTGGATAGTTTTTGTATTCTTTGAGATGGGGACGCAACCTTTGTGCTTCTTTTAACCCAAATATGAAGGATGAGTGTAGAATGGTGTGAAATGACCTGAGTGGCTTTCTTACTGACTAAGATCAGCTGTTTCATTAGCCAGGACTGCTTCAAAGGGACAGCTGGGACCAGTTTTTTAACCAATGATAAAGGTACTGACTTTTCTCATGGTCGATCTTTTAATTGTTAGGCAAGCACTATAACCATTTAACTTCCCAGTCAGTATATCCTTTTTAATGCCTTTCGTTGTGATTTTATGATAATCATTTCCTCTCACTTAATTAATTATAGGATAATTATCTAATTTTATGGTGCTTCAACTAGTATAATAAACACCATGGGAGATATAATAAAGATGTAATCAATTCTTGAGTTAAATATAATTCAGTGTCAATTAACAGCGATTATTACACAATAAAAATTAATTTAATTAGTTTCACAATCACATAAAAATGTGTAATCATATCTTAAAAGGTGATAAAAATTGTTACAGTATAATAAAAAATAACATCATTAGCCTAATAAAAGTTTTCTATTCCAGACAAATATTTCATAAATATTTCCAAGGTAAGTTCTAAAGGAAAAACCAAACATTTATTTTTTAATTCACTCTAATTGTTGGAACAGTAGGCACATCCTCCAAAACCATCGTTTCCATTATTATAAAATTGTTTTGAAGTGTTAAAATTCAAATATGAAATGAATGAAAATCCTTCTTTATTAAGGCGAACTTAGGACCTCATGGCCTTTTCTTCCAGTTAACCTCTAGGAGAACATGAGGTCATCGTCATTTCTCATCAATTCAATTATTTTCACAGGTATTTTGGAGATGCTGGACACCACATTTAGGTTCGCGATCAGCTTAGGCCTCTACAGCTTACTGCTAGTCGCCGGTTACTGGATCTGGTTCCAATGGAGTAACAGAGAACTGTTAAGAATCGCTGCTAAAATACCTGTTACCTTACCAACAGTTCCAATTCTGGGTCATGGCATATTTGCCTTACAGGGACCTGAAGGTAAAGTAACTGTGTTTCTAATACAATGTTCAATACAGGCTTAAACAAGTGATTAAAATAAAAGAGATACAGAGTAATATTTGAAGCAGTCGAAACTATAAAAAAAAGTTGTTTCCTAGATGGTGAAAAATGTAAAGAGAACAATGTAAAAACATATTTGTATTGTGAAATGCTAGTTTATTTTCATGGATTTAGCTTTGTTTCGTTCGAAATATCACTGGATTTATTATTTAAACTTTTTACAGAAATAGCTCGATCCTTGATGGAGATGTCAGCGAGAGCAATTGAGAAAGGTTTGAAGTCCTTTTGCTTTTGGGCTGGACCACTTCCTCTGATTGCGCTACAAGATATCGACGATATTTCGGTAATTTTGATAAACACACAGTAGGATATATCGATAAACTCTGAGCGAGTTGCTAAACAAGCGATTTAGCGAGACTTGATATGATTTATCGTCTGGAATAACACAAATGGAAGTGTTTATACTGCTGATCTTTTAAACATTTCTTTATGGTAAACATATGGTACAGGTACAAAAAACGAAGTTATGTTTTAAAAGTTATGTTTTAAGAGTGTCCAATTGAAATCGATCACCACTTACCATATTGTATATGTATTTACCAATGTAATACATTGTGAATGTCTTGTGAGTATAAGTGTAATATTTTATTACAAGTGTTATTTGGTGTATTTTAGTACTTTCAGATAGCACTTCTGTGAAACACTTGCACAATATTCAAGATCCAGCTTTTTCTAATCTATTCAAAGCTTTTTCCTACAAACGATTAATAATATTTTATGAGGCGACAATTCTTGAGGCATGGTAATATTTTATGCTTTTCAGACAATAATAAACGGTCAAACAACTTCAGACAAGGCGGATGAATACGACTTCTTCATTTTTGGACTAGACGCTGGACCAGAAGAAGGGCCATTTGGTAAAAATATACTGACAGCCAGAGGTAAGACGGATGCTGTTCTATAACTATTAATAGATATACTAGGATGAATTTATAAGAAATGAACCTTTTACAAATCTTCTCTTGGCAATAAACCTTTCCTCCCCAAATAATATTACATGGGAGTTAGTCTTATCTGATCTAATAGGTTAGACACATCTCGTGAATTGCATTTTTCGATATTATTTTTAGTGATTTAGCCATATCTCAATCTGAAGTTAGCCATGAAGCAAGTTAGTTAAATCTTGCATATTGACCTAAGGTGAGTTAGTTTAGCCTCTAAGCAAAGCTTGCTTGGTGAGTTAGCCTAATCTGGTGGGTTAGCCTTAACTGATATGTTATCCTTAGTCTTGTCTATCTGGTGGTCTTGAAAGAGAGTCATCTTGTGTGTTAGCATAATATGATGAGTACCCTTGCCTAGTGGAATAGCATTTTTGTTAGTCGAGCTTAGGTTGTATAAAGGGTACAGATGAACCAATTTTGACTTTGACAGTTTTATTTAGATGCATGGATATATTTAATATCCAAAACCAATATTGCATTGTAATAAAAAAATAGGGAAATTTTATCAAAGACAATTGGATCAAAGGAATCCAAGAAACAAACATACATAGAGTTTGCATATATACCTACACTTGAATAATTTAATCTATATTTACCCAAAGGTGAGGATTGGAAGGTGAGAAGGAAGCACATGAACCCGATGTTCCACCCACGCAATGTTCAACACATGGTGCCAACGTTCAATAGCAACAGTCGGGAGCTTGTTGAACGGATGTCCCATCACCTAGGCAACGGACCGTTCAATGTTCTAAAGTATACCATGGACCTCGGGCTCAAGAGCATCTGTAGTGAGTTTTTTTCTAATTGTTGCTAGTTGTTCGTTCAAAAGGCTTGCGAATAAACCAAGTTCACGAAAGAGAATTTGCAAAATGAGAATTATTTTCTTGTACGAAGTAGGGTTGCAATACGTCCTGGTCTTATTACATCTTTCAGGTTTAAATATTATATTTATTCAACGACAATTGTCTGGGTAGCTCAGCTTCTGAAAGTTAGTTCAATCCCAAGAGGGATTGATTATGTTATAAGATGGAATTTATCACTGGGTCATTAGTGCTGCAATTGAACATAACGAAGATTTTAGACAGTAAAAAGATCAGAGTTTAAGCAGTTTCCTTCCTTAAAAGTTTTAAAAACTCAAATAGCATAGGAAAATGTTGTTCAAAGGTTTATTGCGGACATTTTCCATTACGAATGTAAAAAACAATACACAACGTTTCGGTACGTTTCGGTGTTTCGGTTCGTTCGTACGTTAAACGAGGAGCATAGGACACTCAAAATTAATGTAGCATATAATTTTTTTACTTGCAAATTTAGGGTCTAAGGTATCAAGGTTTCAAGACCTTCATTTTTTAACACATTCAACATGTTATATTTATAAACTTCACTAAAGTTGCTTTTATTACGGATTCATCACTAAAACCTCTTTGTTACAGATTTGATTTTTGGAGCGAAAGTCGAGATAGACGTAAAGACGGAAGCATTCAAAGGTCTCAAGATTTTTGTAGAAGAGTAAGTTAAATGATTATGAATCAGTCTTTGAGTCATTGGATTGATCAAAAATGCTTTATATTAACTGTTCCAACAAGTGTTCCTTGTTTATTGCTACCATAGTTTCAGGATTGTGAAATAACATACACAAGACTTGGGGGAGCATATAGAACAGTAGTGGATGAAAGAAGTTTAAAGAAAGATGAAAGATTACGATGACATTACAACATTTAAACTACAATCCACACAAATCAACAAAAAACAATTTGAATAAAAAAATTCTTTAATTGATTTATCTTAGACTATAGGCTACATATTACTTTGTAAATCTATGAATTCAATTATGACTTAACAAACTTTTGTATTTTCAGGGTACCAGAACTTTTCATTATGCGTATCTTTCGTCCATGGCTCAGGTCAAGTTTTCTTTTGAGACTATTTCACTGGAATAAAGTAAAAAAGATCGGCAAGTACTGGTGGAACTTCTCACAAGCTCATATACAGGTTTGAATTTTAAAAAAATAAAAGTATCCGTTAGGTGTTTTCAATTTTAATCTTGATATTAGCATATACATTCAAGGTGTTCCCATAAACTATAGAGGGTATTTATAGTGTTAATTTACAAGGGATTAGTTAAAATATTTTTGACAGAGGATTTAGTTGGTGCTTGAATTTTTGTAAGTCTTAAAAGCCTGAGTAAGTGTGGGAAAATTCTTGCTATAGTGACCTTAATATAAAATTGGCAATTTAAGATTCATATAAGTCATATTCGTTTCATTAATACGATTATCAAATTCAGACAATGACTTAACTACAAATACGTCTAAAAAATAAACCAACAGAGCTAAGTTTATTAATTTTTGTCAAAAGCCAGCAAGAATCTGAACTAAAAACCAGTTTTCTTTTATCTCAGTTTTAAAAGTCAAATGTCCCAATTTTATATTCGGATATTCGAAATTCCAAATTCACCAACTTTGGCTAAAAATATCGAAATTATTTAGGAACTCGTATTTTAATTAGGCTCATTGATTCAGTTATAATGTTTAAGGAAATCTTAGTACTAATTTAAAGTAAAATTAAATGTAGTTATACACTTGATAATTTTCCTACATGGCTTTCTGTCATTTTCTAGGTTTGCCACGAAGAACAAAAACTAAAGAAGGAAACAAGCAATATTAAAGACATAAATGAACTCAATAAAAAATGTTCATCTGAAGAGAATCAAGGTAACAAAAGTAATAATTCATTATATAAGGATTTCATGTGTGAGTGAGCTTTAAAAGTTAAATTAACAAAAGTAACTGTTAAATACTTATCAAATTTGCTGTCAAGAGGTTAGCTCTCTAAAAGGTATTTATTTGAGTGGTAAGGATTAAGAGGCTCTGTGCCAGTAAACTTATTTTAACCTTTTTTCACAGAACGTATTAACCTTTTTGATGCGTACTCACTTCTACAACAGAACTACCCAGATTTTACTGAGGCTGACTTGAGATCTGAAATAGTCACTTTGTATGCCACAGTAAGTACAATAGAAAAGTAATCCGAATATTTTCTTATGATGGATGAAGAATGCTTAATTTATTTATTTCGGTTTTGGTGATCACGCATCAATTAAGAAATAACCAACTCCTAAGAGTTATCACTGTATGTGGCTTTTTTATGTAAATTGAAATATAACCATCAATAATAGGGGTTTAAATTTACTACCTGGAAAGTATGTGAGAATTACCTAAAAAAGCCTGAATTCTTTGTAAAGTAGCAGTAAAGTCGTTAAAATCATACACAACTTATTTGTAAAATAAATAGTTCATTTGAGTATCTATGAACATCTATGATGGTAAAGTAAAGTACAGTATATTCTTTAATACTTCTTTCTTGACCACAAACGAATATTTTTAATTTTCACCGTGTTTTATACTGCGGTGACACCTAAAACCTTCAGAGCCAATGCAACTAAAAAAGAGCACCGGGTGCTTATCACTCAATGAAAACATACTGTTTTCCTCATCCCAGTATTTTGGCCACATATGGAAAAGGTGATGGTTGACATTTTTGCCCCTTTGAGTTAAAATGAATTGTTTTGTGTCTTTATAAACTGCATGCTTTGAAAATCAAAACTAACCCGTTGTTTGTTTTAAAACTATTGATTCTATATTTTTCTTACTATATGTTTGTTTACCAATTGAGTTTTAATTAGTATTGTTACTCAGGGCACCGATACTATTGGAACTGGAACAGCTTCATGTCTACTGGCTCTCGCACAGTACCAGGATATCCAGGTAAAATCTATTACGTTACTAAAATAATACAAATATAAAAAAAAATGACAACAGATGACTGTGATGCTTCAAAATTAAGCAGCATAGCCGTAATATATAATATCTCTAACCATCAATGTCTATTTAGTAGAACAAGTCAATTCTGAGATTGCAAAATAAATATGAAAATAAATTATGATACAACAAAAAATTGAAGGGACTCAACAGGAAATGAAGGTGAGCATTTCTTCCAGCATTTAGAACTAACTGTGTTGGAGAGGAAGAACCGTCCTTCTAGGGATTTAGGAGACTAAATATGTCGGAAAAGAAGAACATTTTCTCTTGCGGTTTAGAAGACTAACTATATGGTAAAGGAATAAAATTTAATCTTTCGGTTTAGGAGATTAACACCTGTATGTCGGAAGAGAATAATATTTCCTCTAGTGGCTCAGGAGACTAAATATATCGGAAAGAAAGAACATTTCCACTAGCTGTTTAGGAACCTAACTACGTCAGAGAGGAAAGACATTTCTTTTGGCTACCTATTATAAAGGGGGAAGCGTTTTCATTATATCTGTTATGAGACTGTAGGGAAGTCATATGTTAGGTATTTAAGAAGATTTATGTGTTATTTCAGTATACATTGACATTAATTTATGAAATTACAAAATTAAGTCTGAACCAAATTATGTTTTAGGAACGTCTCTTCAAAGAAATCTCTTCGGTGGTTGGTCCTAACGATGACGTCACGCTTGAAGACCTTTCAAAAATGCCTTACCTGGATATGGTAGTCAAGGAGACGCTGAGATGGTTCATGATCGCACCTTTCATCCTTAGGAAACCCACCAAGGATATCACTCTAAGTGAGAATCCAAAAGCATCGAAATCAACCAATATGTTCATAAAATTATTTTGTTCCAAGTATTTGCTCATATCCATTGATCAAACCCATTTCAATTTTTAAACTCATGTAAAATGGAATGATATGATCATATCCATTCGATCAAACATTTAATCGCCATTGATGATCTATTTAAGTAATAGTGATTAATATCCCTTAAGCTCTTTAAGCTGATCTTTTTGCTTGGATTATTGCATACATGTTGAGTCATGATTAGTAAAAAAAGATTTTTCACAACGTGTTGGAATTTGAAATCTGATCCAGTTTTCAAGTGAAAAATTATAATGGTACAAACCCAGCCAAAGCTATGGAAAGTATCAACAGATACCCCATACAGAGATCTGTATAACAATGTACAACTATTAAGGACATACTTCTATGGCACAACATGTTATCTTGACCGTTTTTAGTCGACAAAAAATCAACAAAGAAACAAAAAACCAAATATAATTCGCACTTGCTATCCCAAAGCCATATTGTGGAGAACATTTTTTAAAAATATAATTGACTTAGGAGCAAGATGTTTTTAAATTACGTAATTAAATGTCACAGCGAATCTCGTAATTAGACAAGGACAGGGTAGAAAAGGGTTATTGATGCATCTACACGAGAAATGAAAATTGAAATTCATCATATTTTAATTTAAATTACAATTTAATCCAATATTAATGTACTCTTTAAGGACGCGTTTAGACAATTTATTATTTTCCCAGGTGAAATCACAGTTCCTGCAGGATGTGCGATTGTTTGTAACTTGTCTGCGATCCACATGAATCCAAAAATCCACCCTAATCCCAGACTGTTCAATCCAGAAAGGTTTTCACCAGAATGTGTCTCTGGTAAAGAGAAATTGGCGTTCATTCCCTTCAGTGTGGGTCCAAGGAACTGTATTGGTGAGATGTAATCTTTAATACTTTAAATATTATTTACATTAGAGGAATATTAACGTATTATTCAATTTTATTTTCTCATAATTTGCCTGGTTCTAGCTGCTCCTAACTGAATTTTCCAAAATATTAATGATAAACTACTAGGAAGTAGCTTAACCTTCAAGTTATTTTCAGTGCATGAGAACACAGAGTATAAAACTGCAGTTTCTGAATAAATAAAGAAACATTATCATTAACTATCTCTAGAGTTGTCTAAGTGTAGGTGTGTTAATTTTTCAAGTAAATCACCTGAAAAAAACTTAAGTTATATTTCAGAAGGGATCTTGTCTCCAATGTTTTACCTTTTAAACCTCTTAGGAAAAAAAAATCTCACTAGACTTCAAATACCTACGATGTTCCATCGAAATTTAAAAATCTATAATGTAAACAATTTAACTACCTTAATTTTGTGCATTGTTTCGAGCTATTTCGCTAATCCAAAGTTAAGTGAGGAAACAGGGGTTAAAATTAAACATAATTTTGTTTTATCCTCATTTAGTTTAACAGTTTGTGTATCCAAGCTTTTCCTTTGTTACACACATCCTGAGCGAAAAATAATATTTATATGAAATGGAGTATCTAGAGTAAATATAATATATATATTTCTTCTTACATGTTTGCAGCAAAAACATATGCGATACAACTAATGAAGATAGAAATCGTCCACATCCTGCGAAAGTTCAGATTGTTCACGACTCAAGATATTTATAACATGAAGAAGAAGTTGGCAGTCATATTGGTGGCCACGGAGGGGTATAACATTTCACTTGAGAAAAGGGCTTCATAAAATTTTTCTAGAGAAGAGGGCCCCATAAAATTTCCCGGAAGTAGAGGGCCCATTAACATTTTGAGAGTCCCATAACATTTGCTGGAAGAAGGGGGCCCCATAACATTTCCCTATAGAAGAGGGCCCCATAACATTTCCCTATAGAAGAGGGCCCCATAACATTTCCCGGAAGAAGAGGGCCCAATAATATTTTCCTGGAGAAGAAGGCCCCATAGAATTTCTTTATAAAAGAAGGACCCATGTTATTATTCAGTAGTAGAGGGCCCCATAACAAGAAGCTGATTTAGATATTATAGGTATACATATAGTATATATATTTAGAAATTTACTAAGTTTGTACAGAGTTCAATTGTTTGACCCTGTTTTCCAGTTCTAATTTACACTCTCTAAGTTGTTTTGAAACCCGCTTTTGTTTTAGGCCGTGTAGGTTGTTTGGGTTGAATGATGGATGTATACTTTGGTGGGCGATGACACTTGGTTCAAAACTGGCCATTAGTGTAGAGACTCAGAGAGCAAACGATCTGTTGAAATAGTAGACAGATGACTACAGATGCCCTTGGCACAACATATTGGGGCTATCAACATTTTACTTTTAGCAGCTGATTAACAATATATTTAGGCTACATTACTTTTTTATTCTTGCTTTCGTTTCAAGAAAACTCCCAAATGCAAGCGAATGCACCCAAAAATGCATGAAGAAAATTTAGGATTATTTTTATAAAGCAACCGTTTTTTTAGGCATTTCGGGTTTTTTATTTTTAAATTTTAAATTTTAGCGCCAAATATCTTACAAAGGTTTTACGCAAAGCCTGTACAATTTATGTTTACAACTTTCAGATTGCCCCTGCTATTTCAGATCCTAAACAATAACTTATCGGAAATAATCAAACCCCTGTGAATAAAATGCAAAACTGCAATCAATTACAGAGTAAATATAACCGTTTGGTTGGGATAACCAGATATATATAATTATTTATTCTCTTGATAAAATACACAATAATAAATACCCAAGCAAACAAATATGTTAGTAAATAATCTGTTTTGTTTGATTAAACACAACTCTTTGAGAATATTAATTTTGATGGTCACAGATAGAACAATTTTTATTGTACTCTTCCAAAAATATATAGGGGTGTTTTTATAAAATGCAACCCAAACTACAAGAAGTATGAAAAATTACTTTTAGGGACAAAACAACCTTATATGTTGGCAGTCCTGCTTTCTTTACTTCATTACTGATCAGCTGATATGCATTGTTTCATTTCAGTCATGGTTTTGTGTTATTGAAAATTTATTGTAAAAAAGGATTAACGTGGATTTTTCGACATTCCCTTTCTGTACTCGAATTAATTTGGGTTTTGGGTTGCGTTTTATGAAAACATTCTGTATAAGGTTACGTGTGATAAAAAAAATGAACTATACGTTTTACGGGTGGTTAAAAAAAACACACATATAACTTTGTTCAACTAAAATGAAAAAACGTCATTTTCAACTATAAATCCATACAGTCTCGAAGTTACAAGTTTGTGCGCAGCGTCTCACTGTTTCTAGTGACTAATTCGTAGAAAGTTCTGCTGAAGATTCATTGCAGAAATAAACCACTCTAACCCACATCACTGTCCCTCCTACACTAGTGATATGTTACCTTCCGATTGCAGACGTTTATGTTTCCAATAATGATCTGATGTTCATTGGGCTTAAACAGGCAGTACAAGAATTCAGAGTGTGTGATTCTGCTGCATCAGAGAGTTTGACTAGTTGTATTTTATGATTGAAAAATACGTTCGTTTTAAAAACAAGTTTACTTGACTATGTGTTTTACTTTTACTTTCGATTGTTGTTTTTTCTCCAATGGGATTAAATGTATGCAACGACGACACTAAGGTGTGTATTGAGTTAAGGATGTGATTTGTATAGATGAAATGATAGTGTTTTAACATTGGTTAAGATCACCTGTTTCTTCAGAACCAAAAGGACAGTTGGGTCTGGTTTCTAACATAAAAGTTACTGACTTTTCTCAGGGCTGAACTGATTACCGGTTATGAGAGCAATATGACTAGTTTCCAAAATAAACGAAATTAACAAACTGACCCACAATTGCTCCCATTATCTTGGAAATTACTCTTATGGGTGGTAGTATATTATGTATGATATTTATGATATTTTATGGGTAAAATCACAAAATTGTCAATAACTTTTGAAGTGTAAGTATTGCAGTTGTTGTGAGTCACACTATTTTGATTATATGTTAAAAGTAAAAGAACCATAACATAATAAATCCCAATAAAAACCATTAGAGCCGTTTCTGTAAAAATCTGATTTTCACGTTATTTGATGGGTTTATAAGGGGAAAATCACCATTAAAATAAAAATGTTAAAACAAATTAAAAACGCCTGGAGATACTAGGGATTAGTAGCCAAATACAAGATCTCATCAAAATTGGACCATAAGTGTAGTGTGTAGTTCTGTTCACATCCACGCACATACATACAGTACATAACTTCGAAAACCCACTTTTCTGGGTTAAGGGGTACCTAAAACGATATATATCCACTCAAAACTCAAACTCGAAAATATTAACGAAAACAATACTTTCTCCATATACTATGTATAGGTAAAAAGTAAAAAATACACTGAGATAAAAAATAGTTGTCTCTAACTGTGTGTAAAATTTGCAATGTGTCTATTCATGGATTTAATTCGTCGCTTTACATAACATTAAACTGCAAGTTATCTAAAAAAAAGGAAAGTTTTTACCGGTTAGTAATGAATCAGTTCCGATTTTAGTTTCAAATTCACACCATAACAGAAAGAACACCTCAAAAGTCTTCCAAACATCCCATGACTTCTGATTGGTAAACTTTCTCCAGCAGTCCAAATCCAATTCTACCGTCCCAAATCCAATCCACACATTTTGAACTCGTATAATAGGTTTTCACAGCTGTCCAATCCAGAATCCGTTTGTAACATTTAAATTCACTTCTCTATATTTTACATATGTCCTATTAAACCGAGAATGTATTTAATAAAACTCCTTAACAGATTTAGTTATGATATTTAAATCAGGCTGAGATTAGGAAGTAGACAGCGGACTGATATGCTCGGCGTTGGGCGGGTCTGGGCCTTCGCCCTAATCGATTAGAGTCGAAATTTATTACGATTCTGGCTCTCGTTTGATTAGTGGCTTAATTTGTGTTCCTCAAGGTTCGAATTGTTCTGTTGCCGGGTGCCTGTTTTACTTGGGTTGTGGTCAGTTTAAGTTTCAACGTTAACTTCATTTGTTGACTTCAGTCAATGTGAAGTTGACTTTCCCTTTTAAAGTTAAAGTTGTACGCTTAAGCATTACGAGTAATTAAATTGAGTGGCCGAAAGAATTTGCTTTTAATATACAATAACGTTAATATTTTACGATTTAAGGTAAGGAGATATAAAAAAAAAACTATACTTTAATTTGGATCCAATGAAAATAAAACGATATTTGAGCTCCTTCTTCCTTCAAATCTGGTCTAATACAAAAAAAAAATATCTCCTGCACCATAGAAAAATACAACAGCAACTGATGGAAAACTAAAGACCATAGATAACATACTACAGTAGTAGGTTATGCAGTGCAGTGTAATAGATCTATACCATAATGGCTCATCTATACAATGGTATTATTATTAAAGTATTTTCATAAAATGAACTCAATGATGCGATTAAGTGTATAACATAACAAGTAGGGTGAATTATATACCTTATTTTGGTCGTAAAATAAGATAGACAATTTTTGGGATCCTCTTCTTCATTGGTGATGTCAAAACTTAGAAAAATACACCAGCATCAGTCAAAAGTATTAATGTGTGTGTGTCGAGAAAAAAAAATAAATTTAAATAATTTAAATTTTTTATGGAAAAATAATATCTAAGTAACAAACTTTGGTATCCAGGGGGCACGAGTTGGTCAAAGCAATACTTTATTTTGGGTGTAAAATGAAATATAACTCTTTTCACCTCTCCGCCAAATACAGTCCAACATTTGTAAAGACCTAAGTACCCCACAAAAGTCCATTGGTTTGATTGTTTTATTGACATAAACTGTATCCAACCGTTAAACAAATAGCTATATGTACCCGAAGATTTTATTTTTTAAGGCACCCTTTAATGATTGAAGGTAACTTTTGGTGATGGTAAGTTTGTGTTATTTAATTAATCATTCTGGAAATTTGCTATCACAAAAAGGTTTTCACGAAGTTTTGGTATCAAGATTTTTGTTTTTCGTTTAGAGTACCGAAATAGCTTTGTGTGGGGTTTATTTTGTGAGGCTAAGCTTTGACTGGGTTTATTTACTATTATTATGCTTTTATAACTTAATCATCTGAGAAAGAGAATGTGGTCAGACTACAGAAAACTTGTGTAAAGAAAACATGAGTTTTGTTACTATAAAAAACACCCACAAAAATACCTCCAAAAATTTAGAGTCTATTTTAACATTAGATTGATTCCCAGCGGAGGCGTTTGAAGGCGGGGGCGAAATTGAAGGCGGAGTTGAAGCTTTAAATCGAAGGCGGGTCTCAGTTCACACCTAAGGGCTAATCGATTACGTCTAAAATTTATTTTAAATTCAACATCCGCATGAATAGTGGCTTAATATAGATTCTAATTTGAAGAAATACAATCAATAACTGTCTATTTACGGTGTCAGTCGGCCGATGCTATCTTGCTTTAATTTAGGTTTTAATTTGCTCTTCCATAAATTTAAATATCTGGGATGTTATGATGGGAGTGAAGATTAAGAAGATGTAGTATAGTTAGCTTAGTAAAAATATTTAAACTTCTCTAAGCTACCAATAGTCACTGTGACGGTGGAAGTGAAGTCTGTTTCCACAATTCATCGAAAACTCCACAAAAATGTAATGTTAGTTCAGATAAATTTCTTAGTTTTTTTTTTACTAATTTAGGCAGTTAATACTACATCAATATCACGAAAAACACGAACATTTACTAGAAACCCCACCCTAGTGCAAAGAAAAACATTTCAGCGACAACTAATTTTACAATTACAGATTTCAATACGATATTAACGATGAAAGATCATGCGAAAAAAATACAATCAGTGTCATAACCTTGTATTTTAATAAGATTAGCGATGGAATATCATTGAGAAGAAATACCTCGTTCACGAAGAAGTCGTCATTGCTAGAGCTATAATAACTGATCACTGCTCTAACAGGCTTTGCGGCATCATAAACTTGCCAATTAGTAGACCTTTAACCCCGCCATGAGCATGAGCATGTT